TCTCTCTCTCTCTATCTATCTATCTATCTATCTCTCTCTCTCTCTCACTCACTCTCTCTCTCTTTCTTTCTCTCTCCTTCTCTCTCTCTTTCTTTCTCTCTCCTTCTCTCTTTATCTCTCTCACACACGCACACGCACAAACACACACACACACACACACACACACTCCCACACACACACATACACACACACATACACACACACACACACACATGTACATTTGACGCCCAGTCAACTCACAACATAGAAAACCAAACGTCTACTCACCCTGATCCTCGGCCACCACTGTGAGCACATACATAGGCGTCGTTTCTCTATCCAAAGGTTTCAGCACGGTCAACTCCCCAGAGTCTATCTCCAGCTGGAACAAATCTTTAAGACCGCGGTCCTCCAGGTCACGTAGCGAGTACTTCACAATGCCGTTATACCCGGAGTCCTTATCAATCGCTTCGACCGTTATAACCGGCACCGGACCTGGCGGCATCCCTTCCTGGACGTAAGTCTTGTAGGGGGAGTCGTGGAAAACTGGGACGAAATCGTTGACGTCAGTGACCGATATGACCACTGTGGCGTTGGCGTGGCGTGGCGCCAGAACAGAACTATCCTCCGCCTGGACTTGCAGACGATACGACGTCGTTCTTTCATAATCCAGAGCCTTCTGGACTCGGAGAACTCCACTGGACATGTCAAGGTGAAAATCCTGACTGCCCTCGCCACCGATGATGAAATAGCGCACGGCGCCATTGAAACCCTCGTCGGCGTCCGTTGCTAGGAGACGGAGCAGACTCGTGCCCACTGCCGTGTCCTCGCTGAGAGTCTTGTTGTAGACCAGCTTGCTGAAGATGGGGGCGTTGTCGTTGTCGTCAGACACCTGGACGACCACCGATGTCTGGACGCTGAAGTGAGGGCTGCCTCCATCTTGCGCTTGGATGATCAGCGTGTGGTTGGGCACTTTCTCTCGGTCAAGGGCAGAGTTTATCACCAGAGCTCCGGTACTACAGAGGGAAAGAAAAATACAATATTATGAGGATCGGGTAAAAAAAAAGAAAAACATTAAAACGTACCAATTTGCAGACTTTAGATCACCGTGCCCTTGTTTGTACTCTCTTCTTCTTCTTCTTCTTCTTCTTCTTCTTCTTCTTCTTCTTCTTCTTCTTCTTCTTCTTCTTCTTCTTCTTCTTCTTCTTCTTCTT